CTCTCCTCTGGATTTTAACAGGATTTGTTATTAAGATTATATAGCTAATTGCCAAGGTTTGAATGAAGCGATCTTTTTTCTATCTGTAGTTTTTAATCTAAGACCAGCACCATCCCACAGTTTCTTCTAACTAGCTCAACACTGAAGTTTAGCAAATGACTGTTCTCTTTGACAAAACCTCAGATCTAATTTATATTCTGTTCCAGAAGAATCAATTTTTCATTCCAGAAACAGACTACAACAGTCTAAAATTTTGAAATGTAATCTGCCCATCCTGTCCTTGTTTCAAACAGCAGAATCGCTACCAGTGTTTGTTTCTATTTCATGTATCTTAGTAACAACAGCTTTCACCTTTGCAGATGTTTCAATAAAAATCAGTAATGCTTCTTTATACCCAAAAACCTCTCTCTCTTGCTCTTGTCACACCTTAATAAGCAATCCTGGCCCTTTCACAGTCTTATTGATAAACTAGTAGTTCTTGCAGTATTTTAACACCAAACTAGTACTTGTAGGTTTCTGCTGTGTCCACTTGCCACCTCAGAAATTTTTTTGTTCTTGCAGACAAAAGGATTTATAATTTCTAGTTGCTTCTTATGGCCCTACTACAGAAGTCTGCCCAAGCAAGAAATAAACTAGTTTACTAAATTTCTAGCTCTTATAATTAACCAACTGAAAGAGTTATCACAGAGTCTGCAACAAAAGATGAAAATAACTTGGGTATACTAGTTGCAATAATGAAGTTGCTAAAGTTAAACAATTAAACACAGTTCATTTTTTCTTATTTAATAAATAATATAAAAAAGCAAACTTTTTTTTTTTTACATTATTGGAAAAAACAGTTTCTTATCTAACTCCAGCAATAACACAAGCGAAAATGCAAATGGTTTAGATTTGTGGGTGGCCATTCCATGTCCTGTTTCAGTGGAGTGCGGTGTACCGATGACTTCTCCACTCCTGCGGCCGGTCTTCCTTTGTGTTGTTCTGGTTCCATAGGTGACCTCAATGTTCATTTGCAAAAAAAAATAAATCATATTTCTTGGTTAACATTGAAAAAAAATCCGCAAAGATGTGCCAAGTTTCAACACCTGATAAAATCGTAGCTACTTCTGTATCATCATACAGATGTTCAGTTAAATGATGTCTGTCACATCAACAGTAACATGGCATTTTATCTCTAGCCCTGTAGAAGAAAATGACACCCGACAGTATATGCACATACACACACAGAGTACACTTGACAAAAAACACTTATGTGGTTTACATTTCACTTTTATTTAATCCTCAAAACTGCCCATATTGCAGGGTTTTTCTTGATGAAATATGGAACTGAGCAATTAATTCTACAAAATTATGGTAAAAACTTGCTCATTTTTCTACCTTATTGCTAAGAAACTTTTACAGGTGCACAGTTTGTAAAAATAACCCTTTTAAGACTGAATGTATACACATGCTACAGGATTTTTTAAAAAATTACATTAGCATAGCACCTCCAGATGGGGCAAATGCAGTGCCGAGCACAGATAGGTTTACAAAGGTAGAACTGCTCATTTCTTTTACAGCTTCTAAAGGGAAGAAATTGTTCAGTCCTAAAAGGGTTAAGTAGAAACCCTAATATACTTCTTTTTCTAACAAAGCTGCCACTCAATCCCACAGTACAGTGCTTGAAAACAAAGTCAAAAGTCTGGCACAGGAAAGTATACACATTTGTTCAGTACTCATAAACACAGCTGCTTTGGAAAGAAAGTAAATAATATGGTTAATAATTGAAGAGCATCTTAGTTTCAAGATGGACACCTCTATGGAGTCATTTAATCTAGAAGTGGGTAGCTTACTTCCAATACATAACTTGTTTCACTTGGCATTAATATTTTGTACACGGGGAATTCAGCGATTTATGTCTTGACTTCATGTCTTTTCAGGTAACCATTCTGATCTTACAAGTCTGTGCAACGAAAAGTAGTACAGAATACCATTATAAAACACAGTTGTGGGATGCCCTCAGGGCAAATAATTAGGAAAAACATCAGCAGCAGGTTATTAAAGACTTTGCTAGTGTTGAATTCTGAAATGCAGTTCCAAACAAAAGAAAACAAGAAAAGGCGTAGCTAAATTTGAGCACTTAATTTGCTTTTTCTTCCTACAGCTGGAACTATAACAACATTCTGAACACAGACGCAACTTCCATGTATATAGAATTAACAGCAGACTTAACAGCTCGACTTGAACAGTTAAAATAGTTTCATACTGAAACATTCTAAAAGTAGTTTTATCAAATTTTTGAGATATTGTTAATATCATGAAAATTGATTAACAGCTCACAAGGCCAATAAATGGAACAATATCACCCCACAGGAAAAAGTTCAGGAAGATAATACATCTGAACAACTGGACATCTTAACAACAGGAAGGACCTGGAAGACCATTTCTGTACTACAGAATAACTACTGGCAACAATGGAGCCACATGCCCAAGGGAAAAATGGAGTTTAAAATGGTCTTGTAAGCAGAACTTTACAGTCTCTTTTTTTTCACTTGGCTGTAGTGTTGTAGAACAGCGGAAATTCGGCTAAGCCATTAGGTTCTTTACAACTCAAAGAATACTGTATCTATTGGGCAAAATTACTGCACATAAAGAAACTGAATATAAAAAGTATTGCATTTATATGTAAAATTTTTAAAATAATGAGTATAAAAGCATGTGTCAAGTTCGGAAAAGCTATTTTAAATAGTCTTTGAGGGTTAAAAGGCTTGTTGTGATTTGCCTACTGTGTGTATATCATGGTTCGTTCCTGAATACCCTCTATATCCCATAATATGTATCGCTTATTGTAATTCTCAGTGTACTTAGTGATGAAAATCCGTGGCTCTTGAATTAAGCCAAACTGTAAGATACTTCTGTGCTTCTAACAAAAACACTGTGAAATGATTCCTGTCACAACACAAGTAGAATGAAATTTTATAGCACGCACAAAGGTAAACAGACTTGCAAGTAAATGCCAGTAAACAGTTTAGAACAGATAAGGCCACCATGAATTCTGCCCTTGGTCTCTGAAACGGAGAGGAGGCGAGGCAGTCTTCACTAGTGCTAAGAACCAGCATCGTGACTATGTCGTGGGAGTAACTTTTGCAACACAGAGTAGCAAAGATGAAGGCCTGTGGTAGAATACAAGCACGTTTTAGGACAGTGGCACCGATTTTACTGTCAGGACAATACGCTTTATAACCGATTTCTTCGTTTCACGCACACAGGGGAGGACTGAAGCAAACAGAATGGCGCGTCACAGTACACAGGTGTGGTGCAGAGACAACGCTTTACAACGGTGGCGGGTGGGAGCTGCAGCTGGAGAAAGTGGTCAGAAATAACAGCCCTATGAAAATGGTCAACAGAGAAGCTCGTAAGCAATGCACCGTAGGAAGCCACAGGTTCAGATTTACACAGCAGTTGTGACTCTTGCTTCAGGGTATAGAAAAAGCTGAACACACCATAAAATTCGTATTTTGGCTTTTAAGGGGGAAAATCACACTATCGGAACTTGCCCTATGAGCCTATGCCTAGTTCTCTGACTACAGAAGAACTACTGGGGTATCCTTTCAAATACAAATGAAGCAGGCAGGTCTACAAGGAGGGGGGAAAAACATTGCAAAGTCAAAATGAAAAACAAACGCAACGACCAACAAAGTCAAAGTGCAAATGAGCCTTGAATTTATGATGGAGAGAAGACTTGAACGTTGCACAAGCTGTTGGCAGGGAAGGAGAAACCCACAGGAAACAAGGATGGGAGGAGCTGACATCTTCATAGTGCTTTTACGATTTTCTATTCGCCCATTTCTAAGTAATAAAATTTACTTCTAGTTATTATGGTATGGTCACTTCACAATGAAAGCACATTCTCAATACAAGTGTTACACCAAAGTCTGGCCTAATTTACTGAGCAGTATGAAGAAAAACATGCTTGTTGTAATCCTCAAGTGATGAAGGGCATCACCTACCAATCCCATTTGTAGCACATATTTCTCATGGTATTCGAGTTACATGCCAATATGACAGAAGACATGCTGCCAAATGAAGTTATTGGGAACATTCCGCTTTTGAAATAAAACATTTAACTTACACTTAATACAAATTATGTACAAGATTAGAAAAACCTGAACAGATCCTGAAACATTTGCCGATGCAATATGACTGAACAAGGAAGAGGGGGAGTAACCCAATAACAACCCTTCAAAAACACCAACGTATGCCTGTGACATGTACAATCATAAATATGACTGCTTGAGATGCCACTTTAAAAAAAACTCATGTAATGTTAGAACCTCATGAATTATCACTATAAATACATATTTTAAAAAGGAAAACAGAAATAACTATTAACAATGACTGAAAACAGAGCACTAAAGTTAACATACATTGCATGTATTGCAGGCAAGGCAGAGGCATTTTTTAAAGCTTTTGCACAGACTTCATATAATCTTAAAAAAAATATGCTGGCCTTTACAAGGTTCTACTTGCTGAAATAAAAACAATTTCAGTTCATAAAAAGTCACAAGACTTCAGTTTAAAAAAAGGAACAGTTCCAGCCACAGACCAAAAATATATATATTTTTTTAAAACTGGAAGAGTATGGTAATTAGATTATACAAGCATGGTCAGGCTTGGAACCTGAATATACTTCAGAGCAAAAGCTCAGAGGAAAAAAAAAATATAAACTATTTGGTAACAAAAGTGTACTATATGTTGTGATACAAAAAAGGTATGGTGAAAATGTACCTTTTATACTAAAGCTTATACAAGTTCCTTGGTCCATAAAAACTACGTTGTGTTCATGTTTTCTAGTTTGCTCAACGTGTATCCCAGCCACATTTTTTGTTTCTTGCCCATTAAAAAAACAGCTGAAAAATAGATTTTCAATAAAGTTCTTAAGTTTTGGATGTTTTGTTGGTTTTTGTGTTTTGTGGGTTTTTTTTTTTTTTTTTTTTTTTTTTTTTTTTTTTTTTTTTTAATGTGGCTTCTATATTTAAGATCAGCACTTGCAGGTAACAAGGTTCAAATAATATCACCTAAAATGGAAAGGCGTTTTCCCATGAAACCACAAAAATTGTTCAGTTCTCTTGAATGTAGCACTTAAAAGTCAGTTAAGTCCAGACGAACAACAGTAGTTAGGAAACTACAGTTGCTGTGGATGATGTGACATTGGTTGGATTTGTGCTGACGTTTGTGTAACTTCCCTCGCTGTTTGTGTTTGTTTCACTGGAAGCCATGAGGCTCGAGTTGGCTCTGAGGATTGCTCCAGCAGCACTGCAGTGTGGCCGTGGCCCTGGCTCCGGCGTGTACGTGAAGGTAAGGCTGGTGGAGTAAATGATGCCATCGTTACGGACCAAAGTTACTGGAACCTGGACGGGCTGACGGACCCACCTCCAGCCCTCTCGAAATGCAGAAATGTCTGGAACAACACATAGCATGCTCTCTGCGCACCTGAAAAACAGGAGAGTCAACTGAGCATAACAACACTTGAGCTTAAAGAATGGAACAGAACAGAATATTTAAGTTGGAAGGGACCTACAACAATCAAGTCCAACTGCTTGACCACTTCAGGGCTGACCAGAATTTAAAGCATGTTAAGAGCGTTGTCCAAATGCCTCTTAAAACAATGACAGGGTTGTGGCACTGACCACCTCTCTAGGAAGCCTATTCTAGTGTCTGACTACTTTCTTGGTAAATAAATGCTTCCTCAAGTCCAGTCTGAACTTCCTCTAATGCGACTCTGAGCCATTCCCAAGTGTCCTGGCACACAAAACCAGGCAGAAGAGTTCAGCACCTCCTTCTCCAGTTGCCCTCCTCAGGAAGCTGTACAAAGCAACGAGGTCACCCTTCAGCCTCCTTTTCTCCAAGTTACGCAAATCCAGAGTCCTGAGCAGCTTCTCAAAGGACATACCTTCCAGCACTCAACATTTTTCTTAAAGTGAGGCCCAGAACTGAAAACAATATTTGAGGTGAGGCTGCATGTGGTTTGCCCTCTTGGCTGCCATGGCACGCTGCTGACTCACATTGAACTTACTGTGAACCAGCACCTCCAGACCCCTTTCTTCAGGGTAAAAAGTACACACTTGAGTGTGTACACATGAGTATACACTCTTCAAAGCACCCCATAAAATGTAATCATTACCAAAGCAGCAGGAAATAACTGTACCTGTACATGGTTTCAGCTTCCACATCCCCAAACCAGACACGTAAATTTGGAGTGAAGTTCTGTCCTGTAAGTTCCAACATTGCTACATCCCCACCACCATTCAACTGGAAAGGGAATGAATAGAAAAAAAGAAAATCCACAAAAACCATGAATTAATAAAAAGAAACACCCCACTCCAGAAACAAAAAAGACCAGAAAAAAATTCTTCACGTGTACAAAAACTGCAAACAGTGCTGTTTCTGTCAGCTAGATAAAACTGAAACACACCTACATAACTGAACTGTAAAGAGGCAACATATATATAAGATTTTGACAATTAATTTGCTACCATGAAGGATCTTTTAAGTTCTGATAGTGGCCTCTTAGAATAGAACAAGACTTAGAAAACAAAGAATAAAATATATTTCAGAAAATGTTAGGAGAGTTTCAAGTTTTTCCCCAGCAGAATGCTGATGTTCTTAAGGCCTCAGTCCGGCTCCCTTTGATCTATAACTGGGTCTTTGAAGAGCCACAATCAACTTCTAAATAATAAGAAATCCTAAGGATATCACTACCAGAGTATTGTAAGAATTAGAATTTGTAACATACAGACAATAGTAATACGATTCCTGTGATGGACAGGCTTACGTATTCTGAAACGTAGGCAAGAAAAATTATTGCAACATAAAGTATTTATTTATTTATAAAACTAATGAGAACGTTTTCCTACAGTATTCCACAAAGGTAACATGACAGTTAAATCAGTATGACAAAAATAATCTCACATAAGAGAGTTTATTCAAAACAAAGAACCCACAAAACTTACTTGAAGACTTTCTACAACAGGCACAGGTGTCACTGGAGCATGAACCGGTCCCATCCCCTCATAAAATGTGTATTCTGCTTTATCTGTGCTAATGATTGTCCAAGAAGCTCCATCATTAATCATTTCTTTATTTGGTTCTTTTGGGCATGGAGTGGCCTTAGAAAGAAAAAAAGTTTTAAATCTGACCTGTAGACAAGTTTGACAAGTCACAGAGCTAAAAACCAAATCATGGAATCATAGAATGGTTTGGGTTGGAAGGGATCTCCAAAGGCCATCCAGTCCAACCCCCCTGCTATAAGCAGGGACATCTCCAACTAGGTCAAGCTGCTCAAAGCCTCATCAAGCCTGATCTTGAAAGCCTCCAGGGATGGGACCTCTGCTACCTCTCTGGGCAACCTATTCCAGTGATCTATCACCCTCATATTAAAGAACTTTTTCCTAAAATAGTAGTCCCCCTTTAAGTACTTAAAGGCTGCAATAAGGTCTCCCTGGAGCCTTCTCTTCTTCAGGCTGAACAACCCCAACTCTCTCAGCCTGGCCTTGTGGGAGAGATGTTCCAGCTCATTTCTGTGGCCCTGCTCTGGCCTGGCTCCAACAGGTTATTTCTTTCTCGTGCTGAGGACTCCAGAGCTGGACACAGTACCCCAGGTGGGTCTCACCAGAGCAGGCTAGAGGGGGAGAATCACCTCCCTTGACCTGCTGACCACACTTCTTTTGGTGCAGCCCATAGGCTTCTGGGTTGCGAGCGAACTTGTGAGACCACTGTAACTCTCACCTATGACACTGTCGCTTCTCCAGCCTTCTATTTATTATTGAGTTTTATTTTAGTTCAGCTTTCAAAGTTGTAATGTTATTCCATGTAGCCATTGACCAACAAACTATGGCAACTAGAAGTAGCTACTTTAAAACAGATCTTGTTTTATTAATGCAAAGTGACTAAAACAGCTACAGACTGAAGTGAAATACTTTTCATTTGTTAGGATTTACATCTGGCCAAGATTTTTTTTCTTTCTAGAGAGTTCTTCACCACCCACAAATAGATGGAAAACACAAGCTTGTATTTCAGTCTCTGTGGAAAGACATAAGAGAGAAGCTGAAATGACAACTTGCAAATTAGTCAGAAACTTTGTCTCCTTGTAAATACTACTAGATTAGTATACATATGCATATACATTGACAGAAAATACAGACAACTATTTTTTATGGCAACAAAGGCCTCTGAACAAATCCATCATCTAGCAACCAATAAGGAAACTGTGTTTAACTAATCACAGGCACAGAAAAAAAATGACTCAAAAATTCTAATTTCAATACCTTAATTCTCTTTTCTTTCATTACGTTTAAAGAATATCTAGGAATCTAACTATAACCTTCATTCTTCAAAACTGTTAAAACTTCAGTTCACAGGAATTTACCAGTTCAGATGAAAGGAAGTTAAAATCAAAGCTGCATTCTAATGTGAGCTCTTCATTCTGTTATGGTCATGTAAAAAAAGCACTGAACACAGCTTGCCAGGGAAGTGCACAACAATGATAGCAGCTACAGTTGTTCCAAGCTCAAGACTCAACTTGTATTTTTGTTAGAAACATATGGACCTTCTAAGTTACTAGCCCAACTTCAAAAGATGAACTGCTGTACACTACTTCGATGCATGACATTTTTCCTACGGATTTGCTACAGTTCCTGCTGGCATGGACTGATATACTTCAACTCACGACAAATAAAACCATGGATATAAAAAAATGAATGACCCTATACAAGATCCTTGCCTGGTTTCTTCAGATCAGCTAAACCCCTGCCACAAAGTCAAAGGCAAATGCCACAGAATGTGTTCTGGAAGTCCTGCTATGTCAAGAATCATTTCAGGAACACATTACTCCTCCCGTCACAGAAATCCTTGCAAGATTATGATTCCTGTTGTAGAGAAGGATTCCTCATCATTTCCAATTACAGCAGTTTACCTCCAAGCACCTTCCCCTTCTCCTCTTTCCTTTCCTCTTTATAACTAAACTTTCTCAGCAGTTGGCACTGGAACACTATGCTTAATACCTCATTTATGGACTGGCTTCACACAGAGACAGGATAGGAAACAACTGCATAACATTAATGGCTATAGGACAGAATTCCCCAAAAACTGGTGAACACAGCAAGAGGCAAAGGGAATCCAAGAGATACACCTGTGTTTTTAATACAAACACACCACTAACCCCTCCCCAAAAAAAGAACCTCAAGAAAGTTCTATATCAAAGTATACTAAAAAAATGAAATTTCAATGGATTAGAAAATGCTGTGTTGGCTTTTTTTTTTTTTTTAAACAGAAAGCTAAATCAAGTAAAACAAAAAGCAAAAGGTAGAACTTAACAGTCATTCTCCTTTCAAAATGCACAAAAGTCAACATTGGAGTCCCCTCCCCAAGACTGGTGTGGTAATTAGTTTTATTTAATGTCCTCCCTAGTGTGCTGATAAAGTCAAATCTTCAAACTTCTGCATGATCCTGAGTTTTTCAGGTAGTTAAATGATGTTACAACTGCAAAGATTTTAAGTCTAGAAAGACATGAAAATAAACATATAGGGAAAAAAAGTGGTAATTAGCTTCAATAAAAGTCATGTTCCTAAGAAAAATTCTGGAAATGATGCCCATAAAACACTGAACTTGGAACTGGTAGTTCCAGCTCAGGATCTTGGAGTGACTATTGACAGTTTTCTGAAAAAATACAAACCAAACCAACAGAATGTTGGATACCATCAGATAAAACACTGAGAACAAATTATCAGGTATTATTTGGCCAGCCTAAGTCCTTTGTTCACCTAACTGTGGAACACTGTGTGCAGTTCTGGTCTCCCTGTATAATTAAGCCATGATGAAAAAAAAGAGAAGGTACAGAAGGGACAACTAAAAATCACTAAGGAGCTGCTGACCTTACAAGAAAAAATTGAAAAGACTCCAACTCTACAATTTGAAGAGAAGAAATTAAGATGTTGATAGGTGAGGTGAATGCAGAACTGTTGCTAACTAAATCCTGCAAAACTGGAGCTAGGAATCACAACCTATAGTACATTCAAAACAAATACAGCAGAAGTTTACTATACAGAGGACAGAAAACCTCTTGAACTTTCTGCCACAGAATACTGCAGAAAAAGAAATCATCAGTACATTCAAAAGGAATCATACTGATGGACTACATATCTACAAAAGACACAGTCAGGGATCCAGCCTTTAATAACCCTTAATACATGAAGTGTGGATGCTGGCAGAGTACAACTGCACTGAACTGCATAAAGTCACTAGTTCTGTCTCCTTCCTGCAAGCACCTCTCCTGTTCCTGCTGCTAAACACAGATACAGACTATGCTCTGACCCAGAAAGCCATTATTTATATTCTTTCTGTATTCTTAAGAATACATGGACATGTTTGAAGAGGTTTCTAGCTGGTACGTCAGCAACTGAATTAAAAGGTTTTTCAAGGTTCATGATGACCTGCTGACTTCTTACAGTCTCTCTACTTTAAGCCTCTAAGGTCTCTATATCTGGTAATCTCCATTCACTGAAGAAAGACTTGTCACCCTAAAGTAGAGGATTTTTTTTAAGGTGATTTTTGTTTGGTTTTTTTTTAGCAGCCCCAGTCTGTCTAGACTCTTACTATAGGAATAGTGTTCAACAGTAAATGCTTAATAGCAGGCATATGAAAGATGCTACACATCTAGTCCCCTGGTCTCAGCCTTCTAGCACGAAGGAAATAAACAGATAAAATGGGATTTCTCTCCTGCCACTGGTAGAAAGAGCTTATCTTCCATAGTGACATCACTAACCAAAGAGTAGTAACATCCCACATGCATGCTAACAGATTTTATTCAAAACCAGAAGCAGCAGGTACTAAAAATTCAGAACAGTGGATTGTCCTTTTCATTAAAGCCCTACCATGTGGGACATTCAGAACTCTTATCAGATCGGGCTCCATGAATGCTGCAGTAACTGAAGAGTGACAGGATGTCCTGGTAGTCCCACAGGCAACTCCAGGATGTTGAACTAAAGCCAGTTTCTGATCTAAGTTCAGTTACCAGAGAAACAGAAGCTGCTTCTTCATTCAGCCCTTCTGGTAAAGTACTTTGAGGAAGATCAAATAGCAAGGCTGACCCTGAGTTACTGCAATTCCCATTTTATAGCTTCCTCTTCTTGATCAAGGTATATTCTCCTTTACAAGAAAGTATATTGATAGCACATAGCAGAGATATATCTATGGGTAGGACAAATCGATCTGGTCCCTTCTGAGCCACAAGTCATGAATATGTTCCCTGAAATATGAACAAAGCTTCTCATACTCTTTCCATTGTCCCAGTTTGGATTAAAAGTCAATTCGGCTTTTACCAGTCCTTCTTGTCCCTTCCCTTAAATTAGGGAAAATCTTTAAAAAGTTAGTTTCCATCTTTTCTACCTTTACCTTTCTTACCAGAGAAGCCACAACTGGTCCCCTAAGGAAGTCTTGAGTCCTTCCCAAGTGTGGCCATCTTCCTGGAGCACAAAACTATCTATCAGCACTATCTATCAACCCACTCTGCTATTTGAAAATTGCTATAACTAAGTAGGTCTGATCGTGGTCACAGTCTTGTTACTCTGATGGGAATCACCCTGTTGAAAGTCTGCTAAAAGCATGCTAATATAGGTAAGACTAAATTTTGTTCCCATATTGTATAAGCAGTCAGAGCAATTATACATTGTGTCTTTTTTTTTTTTTTTTTTTTTTTTTTTTTCCTCCTTCCTCAGGGGTTCTTTTTTTTTTTTTTTTTTTTTTTTTTTTTTTTTACAGCTCTCCCTAGGGGTTCATTCCTGTTACAGTAACTTGCTGGGGATAATTTTCTCCACCTGCTGGAGAAACAAATACTTGACTAAGACAGTTACATTCTTCACAAATCAAATTTCTGTGGCTTTACAAATTACTGTGGTCAAGTGCCATAGCTGTCTATGTTTATGCTCTTAGCCAAGAACAAGACAATGCAACTCCACTAAGTTCATAACGAAATAAGACTATCATGAACTGGGTCATCTCCTATTTGCAGTAATCCAGAAATGAACACACAAGTGATGCATCTCTACTGGCATATGTCAACACGTTAAGCCACAATATATCACGACTGCATGCAAAACTTCCTCGTGTGTTTCCATTTCTTCCATTGGAGAAAACAGAATTCATTGTCTAGACAGATATGCAAGAAGATTACTGGGACAGAACAACAGATTTGGAAAGGGACAGAAAGTTTGCTGCTTTCCATCCTCCATCTTTTCAAAACAGTATTAAATTCACATTCAAAACAAACTGCAAAATTTTCATTCATACATATTTTGGAAGTATCTGGGAAAACTTCACAACCACGCTTCTTGTCTGTTGATACAGTTTTAAACAACTCACTTGAAACTGGATTATTCTCTCCTGGGAAAGGCACAAATACATTCTCTCAGTGTCTTTAAGGTAAAATGCACATTTATGGAGCTGTGATACTGGATCATCTGCATCCAATAATGCTGTTTGTTTATCTACTTTTCGAATTATCTGTGAATAAAAATTGTACATGTTTAAATTGCACATATATATATTTAGGACAGTTACTGTAGTTCATCACAATGGTGATTACATATGCACTGTTAAAGGAGTGAAAGGTCTTTTTTTTTTTAAATTGCCATGCTTCCTGATTTAATACCAACATTAGATTCATCATTCTCAATGCTTCCGAAACAAGAACACAAGATGGAAGTAGTAGCACACATTACTACAGCTTCAGTGTGCTGCGCACAGATGTTTTCTCTTTTTCGCTATATGAGTGGGGAAAAAACCTTGGAAGTTTCATCAAAACCTACTTTTGTTCAATTTCCTGGTACAAAAGCGCAGCAGGTCATGTGTTAACAAACTACTTCAGAAGCATTCACCACTAGACAGCATCAAGAACATTATGTGGCAGACCAGTTGCTGAACAAGGACAGTTAAAAACAAGGTTTTACTTTAAAGGTATGGAGATGTCCTTAAGTACAATCATAACATTTCTTAACAACAGTTGGTCATTAAATATTACTTAAAGACAACTGCAAAGCACAATTGTTCCTTAAATCTGGCAGTTCAGTGAAAAAAATATCTGCCGACTTAATTTAGAGTTGCCATACTAATTTACTTTTGAAAATTAAAAAAGTTATTCCCTTACAGACGTTGGAAATCTGTAGCTTGGAATTTTAACTCAACTTGTACAAAAATTTAATGAAACATAAGTTGAAGCACCAACCGAAGTGCTTGAAGATTTCTAAGGTAACAGTCAGAAAGCCAACCACAACCTCTTGAGATTTCTAGTGGTAATAAATAATATTAACTATATTAGTTTCAATATTAACTTTTTTCTTCGAAGTTCTTTGCATTAGCTTACAAAATGTCTGCAAGTTCCCTTTCAATCACATCACATGCAATCAACCTTGTAAGGCAGCATGACAAATGTTCCCAGTAGCAAACAAGCCAGGAACTTTTTGTCTGATTTATTTTAATATACTACCTACAAATAAGGTTTCTGGAATCATAAATGACAGTTATTTCCTTTTAGCAATAAGGAAGTATTAACATGAAGTGCACAAATAAAGTGAGATCCTCTTACTGAACTTCATGTCTACTGAAGCAGATCAGTAGTAACCAGGTCTGGATTTTTCTATCAAATATAGTGGGATTTTACTAATTTTTTTTTATTTTTTTTTTTTTTAAGAAAAGATCTGTTTAAATGATCACTTTATACCATTTACTACAAGGAGGCTACCTGCTTTTTTTAGTTAAGTTTGATATTGGGAGAGAATTTCTCATTAAAGACTTAGTGAAACAAGTCTGGGAAGGGGAACAAAATCCTGCCTGCTGGGAAGGTTGGTTTTACACTGGTGCATTCTAAGAACTCTTTCTAGTTAAAACTGGAGTTAGCAAAGCCTTGTATGAAATTCATAATGGGCTGACAAACCACCATTTCACAGAAGTTCTCAAATGAAGCATTATTATCACATATATAAAATTCCACTTAGGCTGACATTAAGGACATAAAACGCGAGAGAAAAAAAAGCTATCATTATCCTTAAGTTTATTTCTGAAAACCATTATTTAATTGCTGGAAATGCAGTAATGTTTTTGGTTCACAAACCTTAACTGGTTATAATCAATTTTGTTTCTAGTGACAAAGGCAAGGGCTGAAATTGTTTCTTTGTAAAAAAGTTATTCCAAAGGCACTTCCAATGTTCCATATTCAAAACAGACAGTATGTCCAATATGCTTTTCCAAGCTGATACTAGTTTAATTATATATCCTTAGAAGTATAGAGAAGTGCTTTTAGATTAAAATCAGTACAGCATTATTAAAGCTGTGCTGAAGTCAACAAACGGAATAGTTCTAGCTGCAAAGACTTTACTCATCTATTTGATATCAATATTTCAAGTATTTTGCTACACTGGGACTTACATTACTGTTTTTAAAAAAAAAAAAAAAAAGACATTTTCTTAAGGACAGCTTGCAGATTAACCTAGTTTGGCAGGTCTGAATTCTGAAAAATTCATTATGCTTATTTTACAAGCTGTTCTTTGCTTACAGAATTAATCTGCAGATAATAAAAACCCCACTTTATTAAAATGAATGCCATTTCCCATATAAAACATGCATTACTGAAAGCAAACATACAAAGCAAAAAACTGTAAACAATGCAAATCTATCTATGCAATTACACTAAGTAGCCATCTACAAATTAATTACAGCATTGGAGAAATTAAACTGTACCAGTCTTGGGAGTGCCATGCCAGTAACTGAGCATACAAGTTTGACAGTCTGCCCATAATGAATGTAGCCATCTCTCACTGTGAATTCTTCTCCTTCTGATTCATCATCATCCACTGCATGAAACAGGAATTTTCACATTATTTGCTTTAATCACTATTTTCCTTGATAGAAGGAACATTTAAAATAACACTGTTACATCAAATACATACTCAGTAACAAATCTGCACATGGAGAATTAATATGGAGGTAAAAAGCAGGACTTTTTTGTGGGGATGGAGGGAGATAAAAAAAATCTATTGCTTCATTTTTACTTACAGAGGTGAATGTAAAATGCTCCCCACTGTTGTGAACTGGCATGGAAATTACCACCTTCTACGTGCAAATATCTGGTGCTAACTGTTTGGGATCGAAGTCTATTAAATAGTGCCACTTTTGTCCCTGACGCAATACATACTGCAAGGAACACACACAGACTTAAGATTACAAAATTGCTTCATTATTACATAGAAAAGTAACAAAAAGTCACAAACACAGTAAAATAAACTGATGAATACTGGTAATCAAGATATAATTCTCAACAGTTCATTAATTTAGAAAATATTTATATTTGTAACAAGACCAAAAATAATCACAAAATTACAAGTGTAGTGGCTGTTCTCCAAAGGCATGCTAGTTCACAGAATTTTGCCACTTAGCCAAATAGGCCAGTGCTTGCCAGCTGAAAACTCTTTCTGTTCATAGCTGTCCGACAACTGCTTATTTAGCTTGCCCTTGTGAAGTACTGAGATAACTTTCAGCAATCATTTGAAGTAAATTTCAAATATGAAGAAAAATTATTCTTACAAATCACAACCAATTGAAAGGAAGACAGACATAACTATGTAAAATTGTAACCATGCAACTTGAAATTTTCTCAGATTTGAACTTACTTATCATTCAAGAGAGAGAAATGCTAAGTCTGCTCCCCTAAAAAATATCAGCAACTAGCATTCTGCCATCAAAATGGACATGTTTCTTCTACTTGGTTCATATTTACTATCGAAGAATGCTTGGTTCATATTCACTGTCCATCAAAACTATCTGTCTGAATACAAAGTCAACAGTGCATACTCTGAGCCCACGGGCGTGAACTGCACAGCAACAGATTGCCTTTAGTCATGTGGCAAGCTAGCGGCCCCGAGATCCACATTCCATAGGTGAATGGGTTCCAGCCCAACACAGATGGAAGAGCCCTTTAAAGCACTAGTGAAGAGAGAGAGAAAAACAAAAAAAAAAGGGTATCTCTTGAGGTGCTTCAGTTTTTTGCAGACAAAAACTTTGGAGGAAAAGCAAAAATGCTCCCAATTATACATTAGCACCAGAGATACCTTTAGCTGAAAAACATGGTAAGCAAATAAATCTGGGTGAAATATCACCATACAGATTTCTTAACCAGTTACTTGAAAGGAACCATGCAAAACATACTAAAAATAAAAACAACGTGGAAATGGCATGAGACAGTAAGGAGGTGTCTGTGATGTGGCAAAGTGCAGTTTGGATAACATGATGCTGCTCATTTATCAAAATCTGAAAGCTATCTCTTCGATACTCATCAAAACGTCCTAAGCACCAGATTATGACACTTTAAGAGACACAACATCTTAGAAACCTGAGGTAGAGCATTATTTATGCATTTTTCTACAAGGATTCACTCCCCAGAATAAATGGGTTTTGGTGGACCTTTTATACTAATACATGACTAACTGACTGCATAAAATTAATCAGTTTAACAGATCTATACTGGAGTATTTTAAAATAGGCTGATGTGTACAGTTCTGAAATACATCAGATAAACTGAAAATTCCTTCAGTAGTCAGACCTTAGAACACATAAGAAAAATTAGCAGGAAGCAAAATTAATTGCTACATAAAGAAAAGAACTGTACAATACTTACAGTCTGCATTTTTCAGTGACTGTTTCTTTTTAGAGGGTTTGGAGATGACTTTGATCCGTTTACTGAGGAACACGCCGATGTCGTCACTATTGCCATAGAACATTTTTACCGACAACATGAAGTGCTTTCTCTTGTCTGAGTCTGATATGTATAATGTTTTGGCAGTGCAATAATTCTGTAGGTGAAAACATACTGGTTTTTCTTCTTTCAAGTCAATCCAGTTCAAGAAACTATGTATATTTAATTATGAATAAAATACAAAAACTGATGCAATAGTAGTATTTCTGAAGCAGATCAGGAACTGCTTTTTCTATCTCTTTCGTATGGATATTTTTTTATGACTGCTGACTGTTTAGCTTTGTGAAGTTCAGCACCTGACCTGAGTACTTTAGTGTCTTCTAAAACCCCTTACCAGGACTGGAAAACAGAGGGTTAGAGACTCTAGCTGTGTCAAACCCATCTCTGAGCAGTTAAGAGCACTAATAAAAATTACACTTGAGTGGAGCTATACTGGCAGTACGCTGGGCATGCACAAGAGGTTGCCTATGCAGAAGATGTGTTCAGCCAAACTTTTCTTGAAAGGATGGTAGATGATTTGGTTTTGAAACACTTGAAAGTTACATTGTGCTAACTGTTTCTACCACATGACAAGAGGATATTAAAAAAAAAAAAATCCACCCAGAAAATCTCAAAAAGAACTTATTACCCTTTTACTATTCAGCAACGTACAAAATCTTTCTAAGTAGACTCTATTGGAAATACTAGATATGAATAAAATACTGCTTAATAAAACCACCAGCTAAAAGGAGCACTCACATGCTGCCAGTTCTAGTTCAACTGTTTAAGTCATCACAAATATCTTTAAAAAAATCTTGTAGCAATTCATACCACTGTAAAAAAAAATCTTATACACTTATTAAGATGCTATTTTAATTGTATTTTTCTGCAAAGAAACTTAAAGACCACTTCTAGCAGTAGATATCATTCAGACACCTCCTTGATGAGATTATTCATTCATGCGAGCCAGGGAGAGGGACACAGTGTGAGCCAAAAACATTACTTCAGTTAGTTACTGACGCCTACCAAATAACGTAGCCGTCTAGTGACTCTGAATCAACAACTCACAAATGAAAAGTTAAGTACCCTGTTAAGATCCCATAGCCCAAATTCACCCACTCAACTGTCCTACATATTTTTGAGGGACTTTTAAAAACCACTTATGTAATATCTGCTACAATGTAACAGAAATATCAAAACCAAACAAGGGTATTCCCTGAAATGTGCACCGTATAGCTATAATATCCTTTGCAGAATATGGTGTCCTTTGCAGAGTGGTTTATTGCAATTCTACCTTTCCCTCCAAGTTCAGCTGCTGCATTTCTTGGTCGCTGTTGCCTATTCCAATGAAGGCGCAAGGCTGTGACTCTTGCTCAGTGCAACCGTCCCGTTCCATTTGCTCTTTTTTTTTCTTCCATCCACTGCCCATAAGATACACACATGGAGGAGGACAAAAGAACCTGAAAATGAAAATGCACTATGAGATTATACACAGCTTTCAAGAAAATTCTTCAGACAGAAACTGTTGTGAATGAAAAACTCTCAGGCTGTTCATGTTCTGCATTTGAGTTTCTACGGGCATGCCCTTCACATGCCTTGAAGATTTTCTAAAATGAAAATCAAAAGAAAAGAAAAACCAAGGAAAATCAGCATTAGATTCACTGTCACTGAGTATCTTTCCAATTCAATATATGATAGCCAATAGTCTGCATTTCTATAAACCAAGAACACTTTCTACCTTTACAAAGAAGATACCCTCAAGGAAAGTTAAAAAGGCCTTGAAAGTGACGGTGTTCTGGTTTTGTAGGTACTTAACATGATGCAGCAATTAATACATACAGAACAGTTCCACAAACTAATTTGTGGGACAACTGCTAACTACAATTCCTAAACATTTGGTGTTTCATTATTAGCAAGGAGGGAGTCTACTCTCTCCAAGCATAAATCCCTTTTCAGGCTTTAAATGGAATAGATGATTTTACATCTTCATCAGTAAAAGATATGATCCCGTCTTTAGCAGCACTGCCTGAAATCAGTCTAGACAATATTTACAGAAACATGTTCAAAATCAAATGCAGCTTTATAACATAATGCATTGGTTTTATGAGTTTCTACAAATTCTAAAGACAGAATCTTTTCAGTTTTAGTCAACAGCTGCAATGTTTTTTTCATCATTTACAGAATCACTATGGTTGGAAAGGACCTTTAAGATCATTGAGTCCAGCCATTATCTATCTCTACCAGGCCACTTATACGCCACATCTGTGATGGCTCTTAAATACATCCAGAAATGGTGATTCAGCCACTTCCCTGGGAAGCCTGTTGCAGTCCTTGATAATCTTTTTCGTGTAGAAGCTTTTCCTAATGTCTAACCTAAACCTCCCCTCGTTTAATTTAATACCATTTCCTCTTGTCCTGTCAGTTGTGGCATGTAAGAAGAGGCCAACACCTGCCTCCGTACAACCTCCCTTCAGGTAGCTGTAGAGAGAGATAAGGTCTCCCCTCAGACTCCTCTTCTTCAGGCTAAACAACCCCAGTTCCCTCAGCTGCTTCTCATATGGCTTATCCTCAAGACCCTTCACCAGCTTCATTGCCCTTCTCTGCACCCTCTCCGGCACCTCAGTGTCCTTGCACTGTGGTGCCCAAACCTGAACCCAGTACTCAAGATGCAGCCTCACCAGTGCCGAGTACAGTGGGACAATCACTTCTCTAGTCTTGCTGCCAACACTATTCCTAATACAAGCCAGGATGCCACTGGCCTTCTTGGCCACTCAGAATCATAGAATCCTTTAGGTTGAAAGAGACCTCCAAGATCATCAAGTCCAACCATCAAGCCAACACTACTAAGTCCTCCGCAAAAATAGAATCAGATTAGAATCTGTCAGGGTTGGAAGGGAACACAAGGATTTTGGAAAGGGTACTTAAAATCTTAGTGCTCACTACCCTAGTTCCTTTGGCAAGGGGCAACATCTGGCTTGGCATCATAGTGTGGGCAGAAGAGTTTTCTGGGTTCATTTTCTTTTTTTCTCTGAATTGCTGCCTAAAACCAGCGATGGTGAACACGACAGGACACAAGTGTTGTTGCTCTTCAGGCTTTTATGGCAACTGCTTTGTGCCTCTACCCTGTGTTCTGTTGCTGCTGTCATTAAGGTGTTCCTCTAATTGAAGAAACAAGCTATTATCACATGTGACCTCCTCAAACTGAATAAATATGATCTTGCTTCAACTCCTTGTTTCTAAACCAATAGACATGAAGTGGAGGTGCGCTCAGGTCCTAAAAAGGACTTTTCAATTAAAAAAAAAAACAAGCAAATCGTGTGCTGGGGAAGACAGTGCCATCAGAAGTAAAAAAACCCACAAGTATGACCCACCCTCCTCTCCCAAATCATCAGCTTTAGGTTAAACATTTTTAACTAGGTGCTTCTTATCAGCCTGCTCATGTTTAAGGTGCTTGAGGTCTCACTTTCCAGCTTTCCTCCATAATTACAAGAGTTTTTACAAATCAGTTTTAGAGAGGGAAGAGAAAAAAAAGAGTATAATCATCTAACTATTGCAACTGGGACTTTAAAAACAGTGCATCAGCTGCTGAAATATTCACAATAAACAATATTCCAGCTGAGAGACTTATAAAACTTCATGCATCCAAAACTAAACTTGCACCCAATGCAACTTTGGATCACCCATTTTTCTGTGGGTGGTTTCTGTCACAAATGCACAAATGGGTTTCACACAAGCCCTTGAATGTGGAAAACTGATTGTTCCAGTTAAAATACATATTTAGGGCATTGCCCCAGCACCTTCCCCCTTTTCACGTGCCTTATGGAATCCATACAGGCCCTCTGGTTCGTAACTGGCCAAGTGGGACTCACACACACTCAGTGTTTGCTCCTAGAGGCCATGTTTTACTCATGCATCTGTATTTTTATATAATTTTTATTTATAGTTCTAAATCAAATGAATAGTACCATGGTATTCAGATGGTCAGATGGGCTACTCATCCAACCTGCCAAGGATGGATGGACTGAAGAAAAACAAAAGGACTCTGGCCCTTCTTTGGAAGCTGATGCTCTTTGCAACACTGCAAGCTCCCCAGCACTGGGGACTTCACTATAATCCTCCTGGTAAGAAGCAGGAGCTGCAGACGTGCCATGGCAGGGGACTGCAGTTCATGGCATCAGACCAGGGTAGAACATACCTCCACACCTTCCCATCCCATCTCCACTCTGACCCATGACATGTTAAACCCTTCACGGTGGGCTGGCAGAGCTTGCTTGCAACCAGGCTGACACACAAAGAGGGGGGGAGGGGGGGGGGGGGAGGCAGAACTGGAGAGGCAGCCTTGCTCATGAGAAATGCTTTGCTCCAAATTATGCTCTATTTTGGAAGCTGCATGCAGAAGTCCGGCTGTTAAGGCAGTCTGCATCCCAATCAAAACCAACTGATGGAGACATCTTTTTTTTGGCAGCTCTCCGTATCAGACTCGGAGGGAAGATGCGATCAGCACCATGGTTGTTAAAAGCAATGCTGCTGATTTAATGTCCTCCTGCAAGAGATCAGATTTTCTACCCCACAGCCCTTTGATGGACAGGTAGGATGATGGAAAATGAAGATGGCACACATTAAAGGGATTCAAAGCCCTTGGCTGACCTCAGCTTGTGCCAACAGATGGGAAACATTTGCAAGGAAGCTGTGGTGCCCAAGGGATCAGTGTGCTCTCATCATACCTGCCAGTGACCCACAGTTCTTCTGCAGGGTGTACAGAAGAAACAAGAACCTGGCAGAACATACTGGTGATATCAGGCAGGCTACATGATATGGTGAGGGGGACATAAGCAACCAGTGAGTGTGATAACATGTTGAAGGACAGATAAATCACCTAGTAGAGGTGCCAGTCACTCTCTATTGCACAACCCCAGAGTCGAGAGGGATATCCTACATCAGAGTCATGTGTAGAGTCATGTGTTAAGGTCAGACAAGAAAAATCAAACTCCAAAGCCTGGAAATGGTTTTATCATCATTCCACCAAAGGTGTGAGGCACTGCTCAACTCATAGCCTGTCCCTAGTCACACATGCAAGAAGGCTGGTGGTCCTCACAGCGGCCATTGCTAGTTTGGACATGGTCATATAGAATTCTGGCAGAGCTGCAATTAGTCATGCCCTGTCTCCTTGCCCTGATCCCAGGAGCAAGCCCAAGCAGACCAGTGCTCCTCAAATCCTGCTTGCTTTTTAGGCCAATAAAAAGCAAAATCCAGGTGCACATTTTTGGAGGACCATCTCCAGCCTCCATGAGATCACAGCCTTCTTATTAACAGTTTGGGCACTTCCAGAGATACTTTTTAAATGCAATTTATTTTCCCTTCAGATGAATACGTGTCCAAATATTGCAGCAAGAGGAGGAGGTTGGAAGGGAGCAAGGGATGTATTCTGCAAGAAAATCCCCATTGGCTCTGGTTGTTAGGTTGAACTGGGCTGCATCTGTCACATCTGATTAGATTGTTGTCTTTTTTTATCTCCCTGATCTGAGCCATGATTCTTCTGGTTTTACGCGACATTTCCTTGGCAATAGAGCTGCTTGGGTTATATCTTTAGGATTTTTCACAAACTGTAAAACACACAGCTTGCAAAGGGTATTTATTGACACAGTTATGTTTTGCATCTCAACTCAAACACAAGACACCTATTAAACAGACCAACAATATAGACAAACCAGCTCCCTCAAAGCCCAGGTGCCACCTTTGGTTCTTTGGTTTACCAAGGAGTCATTGAATATGTAGGTCAGAGATGCCACCTGGGCAGTTTGTACCCTGCACAACAGCAGAGGGGTGGTTAGCCGAGGTGCCAAGGCTGTTGGGAGCCCTGTAACACAGCTAAGGGAACCAAGAGCAAGATTCATAAATAGGTGAGCCTTTAGGACCAAAACAAGTCACTCTTCTGAGAACAATGGCCTCATACAACTATATTCCTCTGCTCTAGGTCTTCAAGGACAATAAGATTGCTGGACTACAGACAATCATCCATGAGATGACAAGACAAGCACAACCAGGAGGACTAGGTTAGCTAGAGAAGGAACTAAAGATTAATTTGGCAACGTACGGTATCATTGCAGTCAGGGAAAACAACAGGGCAAAGCCTCCAGCTGCCAAGTTCCTGCTCCAAATGAATGGGTTTGGAATGGAGTTTCTGCCCCAGAACCGAGCACCTCCTGCTCCACCTCCAGGGCTGAGCAAGCCAAGGGAAATTCACACGCTTTTCGTTGGAAAGACCCTTTTTCTGAGCCACATCTGGCTCTGAGCTCACCCTACTGGAACTGCTTAATGGATGGTGTGGGTGAGTTACTGAAATGATATTTTACAGAGGGGTATTTTTCCCACTCAACAAATTCTCTGCCTTTGTAAGGCCCTAAATCAATGCTGACACACAATTCAGTCTCTTTTCTTGTCTTTCCAAAAGGCTTCAACA